TTTGAGTGGCGGAAAAGAATACAAAGGTCTCAGAAGCGCTGGGGTGACCTTAAGGGGCCACCTCGTGTGCGCTGGAGTCCTGGAGGGAAAGTCACAGAGTCCGAGCTGGTTTTTACTTAATAAAGTGTTACAGGGATTCAGAAGGGGAAGAATGAAATGAGCTTTGCACGTTCGTCAAGTAAGCAAACCATAGACAAGGTTTCTTTATTTTTATTTTTGTCTGAAAGGCAGCATCTGCACTACACAAGTGCTCCATTCTTCCCTCGAGGCAAAGGTGGTTTTTCTCCCTTGGAAAACGCGAGAGCAGGAAAGAAGAATGGAAACTACCTTGGGGCAGATTCTCCAGCCTTCAGCTTTGTACTGCGCCAACAGGTGTCCAGCTCAGCGTCTCAGTCCCCGGGGTCTCGGTGTTTCCCATTCTCCAGGGGTGGGCAGTTCAGCGGGGATGCACCAAGGGCGCTTGGCAAAGCTGCCCGTAGAGCTTCAGTCCCTATGAGTTGTCCTCAGATGCCGGTAGGAGTCGCAGCCTTCAGATTTGCACGGTAGAAGTTAGGCGTTAAGAAAATAAAAAAGCAGATTAGAACCCCATCTGAGAAGTCTCGCCTGATTTTTAACTTCTGCGGCGTCCGCCGTGGTGTTTCACATCGCTGCAGCACCAAGATCGTTCCTTCGTGCTGCACCTGCAATAGGTCATCCTGCTTCTGGGATGAGATAGAGTTGCTTGGAGCCAGCATGTTTTTAATCTAGTCCTGCCTCGTGCATGGCAATTAATATTTATTACAGTCTGGACTGAGTGACGGTATTATTTTTTTCGTGCTGTGCAGAAGACATGTTTATTTAATCTGCCGCAGAAAAGAGTGGAAATTAGGATGAGCTTCGGAAAAGAGCTGGAAGCAATTAGTCGTGTTATTTTACTGTGTAATTGCTGTAACATTCAAATTGACAAAGGAAACATGGATGCTACAGGAGGGGGTTGCTGCTAGATTCAAAAGGGAAAACGACTGCATTAGAATGGACATGATGTGCTATAATTAACCTGTTTATTATTACTGAGCTATATATTTATTAATCTATTTACTTAGGATGCACTGGAGCATATGACATGTAGTAAGAACTCATGGCAATACGGAAAATTAAACTATCCTTGGATGCAAGCAGAACTTGCTGCGTATCCTCTGTGGCCCGTGTGGGTCAGGGCCAGGACAGGCTTATGTGAGCCCGGATAAGCCCTCTGCAGCTCTCCTTTCTCTGCTGGCCCTGAAACAAGGAGAGAGAACAGGGGAAATTATATCAACAGGAAGAACATAAAATAAGAATGACCACATGGGGTCAGCTCAAAGGTCTTTCTAGCCCAAAACGCATCTCCAGCACTCTGGTGTTTTATTTCAGCGTGTATAAATTGCCTTTTGATGGCCATTTCAATGGACAGGAGAGTTGACAGGTTTAACAGGAGCCATAAACAAAAATCTATGGAAAAACAAGAAGGCAAGTCAAGGTGATAGCAGACTGTGCTCCCACTCTGCAACTGTTTGCTCCACAGGAACTCCTGAAGTCAAATAAAGGCAGGAGGGGCAGTCGAGAGCTGCGCCAGACTCGGCAGTGTCCCCGTCTCTCCTCAGGCATTCTAGAGTAGTGACAATAGTCATAAAAGAGAGTATCTGTGCCCGTTATCTCAGGGATGGGTTTGTATGCAATTATATCTGGGCTTTGCATGATGATGGCTACTTGGGGAAGCAGCAGAGTGGATACAGATGTTTTATTTTCACCTGCTCTATGCAGAGGTTACTGCTCCTGGGAGACAGTCACCCTTCTTCTGCAAAGGACTGTGCCCAGTGCTCTTTGGAGCATCTCTCAAATCAGCTAGCTGGGGAGGTTTTAGTGAACATGCTGTTAGATAGCTTTTTGTGTGGCTGCTTTGCTTTTACCATCTCGAGTTTAAGAGCCACATTCTGCAGCCATTTGCACTTTATGTCAACGGGAAGTCTGTGCTCAGGGGTGCTGGCAGAAGCCAGCTTCAATATTTCATAAAATAACATCTCAGTCCTTTCAACAGCTTGTCATTTTCCTGTTTTGTTTAATTCCTGTAACTGTCTTCATATGAAACCCCGAAGCTGCAATGTACATTTTGGTTTTCTGTTACAATGCTTGTTTTTGTAGCGGGAAATGTAATCCTTCAAATGCCTGTGTTTAGGAGGATGCAAATCAGCTTGCTAGCACAATGCCTTGGGAACGTTTCTTTCATGCAAAACCCAGCTAGATAAATAAGGAGGGGAGGGGGGAGAGGGAAAAGGGATTGTTTGCTTCTATAAACAACAAGAATTAATTATGTTCAGTAAATGACAGATGGGTTAAGATGAAAATCTGAATCTTTCTCAATGTATGTGAAACCTACACTCCTATCTCTGAGTTGCATCAAAACCCATTGCACAGCCTGTCCGGTGCCACAGGGCAATGAGAGGGCACGGTGACAAGAGCTGTGGCTCGTGGCTCTCCCGGCAGAGAGCACTCGGGCCAGCACTCCTGGCACCACTGCCTGCCATGGCGAGATGCAAAATAACCTCCGCTGGGAATCTGAAGAGTCTCAGGACCACATCAGCTCCATCAGGGAAACACCAGCCTGCCGGCGACCCTGCTGCAGGGCAAAAAAAAGGTGGTTGCTTCCCAGTGCTCTCCCCACCCTGAGCTGCAGCAGGAACCGGGACCCAGCTGAGTCCTGGTTTAATGCAACAACTGTAGAAAATGCATTTTGAAAGCTCACAGGGAGAAGAAAAACTCTATGCTATAAAGGCATTTCTCTGATGGTGACATCCTATTACTTGGCACTCAACAGCTGCATGTACGCTGATATACATCTTAAATTATAAACTTCGCGGGAGGCATCTTTGCCATCCCAGTTCCAGCCACGCACAGAGGGTGCTGTAAGGACAGGAGGAGATAGCAGAGGGCACGTACAGCTCCTACCACTGTGCACTTGCAGTCAGCAAGACCGCGATGATCAGAGAATAGGTGAAATCAAGGGATTACTTCTCCCCATCCCAAGCATTTGGGGACATCAGCTCTCCTTGTTTGTCCCAAAATAAGAGTCATGCCCAAGGATTCTGAAAAGAAAATCACTGCTCTTCAGCTTCTGTTCCCAGCTCGGCTAGAGAAGAACTGGGTGATCCGAGAAAGTCCCTCTGCCTTGTTTGATTCTTCCTCCTTCCACCCCGCTGGTACAGGGGGGTTTGGCAGTCAATTATTTCGTGTTTGCAAACCCATTTTCGAAAGCAACTGATAGAAGTGTAAATTCTTATTATTGCTCTTGAAGAGCTTTTTGCAAAGATGGTTGTTAATGAGCTGGCTTAATGAGCTTTCTTAAAACTATATTTGTATCCTATGTACAGCTGTATATAAGCAATGCCTAAAATACGTGTGGATTGTACACGCATATGCTTAGGAAACCGAGGGCTGATTAACACACATCTTTTTGAGTTTTTACTGTGCAAGTATTTGTTCCTTTTTCCTTGGAAATTGGAGAGATAAAAGATCCATTCTGGAATAAAATAATTTTCTGCATATGTGCTAGATGGTTTTGTTTATGAGACTGAAGTATGTGAGTGTGTGTATGTGAGACAGATGGTGTGTCTGTTTGTGAAAGATATGATGCGTGGATGAATATGTGTAAAAATACAGGTTTCTCAAGAGCTATTCTCTTTTCTTTTTCTTTTTTTTTTTAAGAGAAGGGACAAAATAACAAATGTCTGCTTGGTACATTATTTCACTGTGTCATGCTCTTTGTCAATATGACAGAGGAGTATTCCTGAAGCAGGCGAAGCTGCCCCAGAAAGCAAAGGGTGCTGCCCCTGGGGTTTCGAGCTGGGCATCGTGAATTCTCTTCAAGTTTTCAAAGTCCTGGAAAGTTTTGATAAGCAAATACTTTCTGGGCTCTGCTTCTCTATTGGCTGTTTGCTTCACCGCCAGATTTTGACACAAATAATCTGATTGAAAAATCAGGGAGGGGAACAGAGGCAAAAAAACACAGAGAGAGAAAAAAGGAGAAGTATCTATTTCAGCAGACTGCGACTAAGTGAAAAAGTGGAAGAGGAGTCCAGAGAGAAGACGACGTCCCGCTTGTGTGGGGAGATTTCAAGGAGAATCCAGTAAAGCAAAGTCCCCCAAACAGGTGATTGATTTATTCTTTTAAATGCTTTAATTTTCATTGTTTTTCTCATTTCTCTGATAAGTTTCTCTAAGCTTTTTCTTCTTTTTTTGCTGGTGTTTGCAAATACGTAACATATTCCACTGCCTAAGTCATTTGTCCTGAGGTTTCCTTTATGATAATGGTTCACTTAATTCAAATGAGTCAAACCTTTAAAATTATATACCATGTACTTACTTCACTCTCACCTTTTAAAATTATATACCATAAACTTACTTCACTCTCACACGTAAAAATGGTAACAGGAGAACAACATACAAAAGATGTGATAATGGTCTCCTATACCTGCATCCCAGCAAGCTCCGTGCAGCAGAATACAGACTTTTGTACTTACGCATCGAGGAGAGGGCATACTATATTTTTCCTTTGAATTGCTCTTTTACGGGGCCAAACCTTTCAATTCAGAAAACAGCACACCTCTGCTGACATCAATTAATCTGTGCCAATTTTGCTAGATGAGAGTTTAGTCTCTCCTGTTAAGGATTTTGGATTTGAATCTATCTTTTATTATTTTTCCAATCTTTCTAAGTGAAGGCTGGTTAGCGTAACAGTTTTTTGCATATGGAATTAGCTATTTATAGGCACTTCTCATATACCACCAGATTGATTCAATACATTAAGCAGGAAAGCAAATGATTTGCAAGTTCACACAGTAAGTGTATCTGTACATTAAGGGGATATCGAATTTGTAAGTTTTTGCTCTATTAAGTCTATTTATGATTCCCAACATCACTAGGGGCTAAATGAAGTTTCTGAAGAACAGACGCTGCCATTATATTTGAAACTTTTTTTTTTTGATACCCTAGATGTACAAGCATTTCTGTTCTGCTTCTTGGGCAAAATTTCCACCATAATTTGCTACACCTGCCATAATGTCTATTTGCCCAGTCTTACCACAGGAATTAAAAATCTTCTACTAATTTTTCCACTAAAAAAGCCGCATTCAAATTACTTGCCCCAAGTATGCACAGTTTTGCGAGGGTGGACTAGTGAAGTCACGATTAATTTTGCTGTAAGGAACCAAAATTGTTTTTGAATATGAGTCAGGTGTCCATTAAACCTCTTATTTTATTTGGGCTTTTAAAGATTTCAGACACAGGTCACGTTCTGTTTTGTGCTTTTTTCTTCAAAAATGTAGTCTTCTGAGAGACAAACTATTCTTTATTTTTGGAAGCTTCACCTTTGCCAGAAAGAACAGGAAAAAGAATATTAAGATTGAAATGTAAATTAAGTTATGGGAAGGAAATAAGCCTCTTTTAGCCTAAAACTTTGTATGCTCATCAACTTATATGAAGACATATATCAATTGCAAATATTTCCACTGAGTGTGGTGGGGAAAAGAGTTTAAATTCTACAACTGTAACCTTGTAAATTTGAAAATAGGATTACTTGAATGTAAAAGAAAATGAAAGTCAGCTTTCTAATGGAACTTATACTGCAAATTGTGTTCCTGATTCACCATGACACAATCCTGCAAACACCTGCTCCCAAATACAGTGTTTCGTGTTGTGAATGGTCTCACTGAAGGAACCAGAAGAACAGCTCTGTCACCTCATTCAATGAGAATAGGAATTTCTTCTAAATTGTATCAAAGGGCCCAATCCTGTATTTTTGGGAGCAGCCAGGCAGTGAAGTAGGAGTTAGGGCTTCACGAGGGACAGATGTTCAAGAGAAATTAGGATCCTGAAGTGAGAAACCACTCTGTAAAAAAAAAAAAACCTTTTAATTTGGTTCTTGCACAATCGCTGCAGTTTCAGTATTACGCTCAGTTTTACGTGTGATACTCTGCAAAATCACCAGAAAGCATCACTGTGGATCAGGGAACTTCATGTTTGAACATAGGAGGGGAACACACAAAGGCTGGGTCTGCTTTCCGATCTTACTAGGGAATTTAAAACCGGGAAAAGCCCTTCTAAGGTGCTTCAAGTTAAATACCCAAAATAGTGAAGCACCTTTTTTTTCCTTGGGTCTTTTTGGCTGTCTTTTCCTCAAGGCAGATTACTACAATATTATTGTACCACGTACATGAATGACAAACAAATAAGAATGTCAATTCTAGCTGGCTACTCATTTTAGAACCTGTATTGAATGCAAAAAAATGCCACAACACTTCCATTTTGGGTAGGTACTCCTGCCCGAGCGATGAACTCCCTTGTGCACTTGCCAGTCAGGGTAGAAACTGCTGCCCCAGGGGCTCGCAAGAACAGCTATAAAAATACGGTTTAGTTTTTAGCAAATGGTTGAAGCTAGATTCTATCAGAAGCTTCAATAACCTTAGGATGAGCAGGGTTTGCTGTCCAGAGCACTACTTTCCCTGTGAAATACAGTCAGCCATTAGTAGCAGCTGATCATTTGCTATTGATAATCTTGAGTTTCAAGGAGAGAGAGTAGTTTTTCCTCTCACAATCTGTGCTTCTAGTTTTCCTCTAACCCGGTTGTGTGAATCACAAAGATAGTCCAATGCAGTTGTTAATTAACTATGCTTTGGGCTCCCAGTTCCTGTTTTCTCTGTAAAATGGGGTGGGGGAAGGTAACTTCCTTTTGTAACGTTCAGTAGTGCATTAAAGATCGTTGTGCTCGGCAGAGGCCCTTATCAGCAGTCAAGATACTGAACCAAATTTGACTATTGCATATGCTGGGGCAAACACATCCAGAAAAATCCCGTTGATTCATGTGCATCTACTTTCAACGGCCAGCAGAAAAGAGGGGCTGTATCTAGTGCCTTCGGGTACTTAGCATACGGGTACTGCCATAAAACACTGCAAGACTGCTTGTGCCACCCATCTCCAATCCTCTAGTTTGCCTGGCTAAGCTGCCCTGCTAATACTACTGTTTCCTCCAGCCGGTGGGCAGGGAGAGCAACTCTGCCAGCAGGCTCTGCTGAGTGCAGGTTTTCACCCTATGGTCAGAGTTACCCGCTGCTGGAGCCTCTTCCTCCACTGTGTAGGAAGCTTGAGGATATTAGCTGGTTAATTCAGGCAGGGAAATCCAATGTCTAAAACTTGCTGGTATGAATACTCTCCATTGTGGACACAGTCCTGCACCGCCACATGGGAAAATCCCTTTGACACGAGTAGAAATTCCAAGTATAAAGGGTTTGTGGCAGAGCTTTAGCTCGGGGCACGTCTATGCTGCGGCTCCCCACACGGATATCCCACCTGGGACTGACCAAGAACAGTGGGACCCTCCAAGCTAAGTCCTCCTGCTGGGGTGCAGGGTATTCAGGCTAAGCAGAGCACACCGCTGGAAGGGTTATACCCACTGCAGAACAAGCTGTGTTTGTACTGAGCTGGATGTATTTCTGTGCCCGCAGCCTTTCACCAGGCAGAGATGCAGTTTAGGACACTTAGAAGGAACCTCACTAGAGAGTTGCAGGAGAGCAAAGTACTCCAGCGTCCCTTCCCTCAACAGCACGCTCACGGTTCATTCTCAGTACTGTTTTGTCCTCTTTCTAAAATTAACACATCTGCTCTTGGCTTCTGTTTTCTCTTATTCATCAAGATACATGCTAATTTCTTGGAAAAAAAGACGAAGAAAAACAGGTGAGTCATTTCAGAGGAAAAAACAGCTGAAGACAGCAAGAGTTATCCCTGTAGTCGTAGAAGAAATGGTGGGAATCCCAAACCAGATTCAGAAAGACAGCCGGGGCTGCATTTCCAAAGGTAGCTGGGCTGGTGAGAGCCTGACCCTCACCGAGCACAGTGTGTTTGGCAATCCTCCTCCCCACAGCAGACCTCCCTGGGTGAATTCGATGGTACCTCTACCTGCAGCCCTGGGCACCACAGCAAATGTGGCCCTCGGACCTTTAAACAAAACACTGCTGGGCTGCATAATCATATTTAGCATGTAGGGGTAGCAGAGGCACTTCTGAACCCTGGGGAGCTGACCTTTTCCATCCTTGGCTGTTTGGGATTCCAAGAGCCCACACTGCTCTGTCCTGATTTACACAGACCTTTCAGGTCATTCCTACTCAACAGGAGCAAACTTTTTTTTTTTTTAAGTAAATAAGTAGGCTACACTTAACTGCTCTCAGGAAAAAACAGAACTTAATAGATGCACTTTCCCGTCAACAGAGAACCAGGACTTGCTGCTGACTTTTCATTTAAAATATAGCAAGATTTGCTTTTAGAGCTACTATCCTGAACAATTGCAAGGGAAAATGCAAATAGGTATGCAAATAAGGCACCAGGTGATATTGCCATACACAGCGTTGAGCCTGTTGTCATTCCGCCTACAGTTACTAGCAGCAGGGAGCAGGCACAGGGCGGGCTGGGTTCTGGGTAGCAAAGATAACAGATGCATTGCAAGAGAATTTGGTATGATTAAATTTCAGCGTTGTTAATGTTTGTTTCTAACCCGCCATTTCAACGGTCTATGATATTTGAGTCAGATCCAAAAGGTAACTTCTTTCATCCAGCACTTCTGCTCTGTTTCTGCTTGACTGTTGTTTGTCAGCTGAAATACAAAATACTCAAGCTATGGCCAACAAGAAGGAAACCCACCACACATCATGGCTCTGGGGAATTTTCCGCTGCATCTCTCTTGTTATTGGTGTTGTTTCTGTAATTATTTGTGCAGCAATTTCACAGAGGAACCTACATCATGGTTTGGCATTGCGCTTTTCAAGAGGCAGTACAAACACTAAGAGAGACCCTTTATCTCCAACCTGTAGTCCCCACTGTGTCCTCTCAGAGTGGGTAAGGTCAGAGATGCACCACGTCCTGTAGCCAGAGCAGAGACCTACAAGAGACATCCTGGCTTCTAACGTATCTTTGCCACAGATGCAGTTTGGGTCCATAACACAGACAGTTTAAGCATGCCTCTGTCTCTCCAGCATAAAGATAGCGGTAATCCTTTGCCTCAGCCTAGAGGTAAATGGTGAAGTGTAATTTTTACACCATATGCTGTAATCTGCAAACCCACCTTTGACCTGCTGTCCCATCCCTACGTTCAGTGGCAGAGACGATCTCACAGCAGTTTTTTCGCTTAGCCCCCTGCGCAGCTATGTGTTTTCCCTAGAGTTGAGATCCATCATGTGCCTACACCCAAGCAACCACTCCCTGCTCTTCAGCTGGGTCAAGGGACCTTTGACATGAACTCTCTTGTCGCCCTAGTAGAAAAGCTTTAGTTCTCATCACTGCAGCATACACAGCTGATGTGCTGGGGGAACAAATGAGAAACTACCCCCTAAATCACAGAGACTGACCTGCTGGTTTTCTGTGTTTCTGCCCAGGCAGTGAATGGAAAATGCCACGTTCCTTTCTGGTGAAGACCAAAAAGGCTCATACCTATCATCAACACCGCTTTGTGGAAGATGACCTGCCTATAGTCACGTGGGATTCAATAACCTCTCCCTTCCCTGGTGAGTCAATCCATGCACTGGGCTTGTAAGAATACACCCAGGGAAATCAATAATTGAGTAGCCCACCTAAGGGAGTAGGATGAGTGAGCTAAAAAACAGCTAAGGGCTTCACGCACAAATATCAGTCTAAAGACAAATCGATCCCCTACTGTGTGTCTTCTTTCTCAAGACCAAATCCGCACTGTCCCACTGAAACCAAATTTAGATCCTCTCTTTGTTTCCTGCTGGGTTGCCGGGGAGATCTGAGATATAAGATTGCTGTGTGGAGTTGGTCACATTTGGAAAAGATGACCAACTTCAGGCAACTAACAGCTGGGAAAACAACATGCACTTTGTTGTCAGTCTTCTACAAACTTACAGCTCGGCCACTTCAATCTCCAGCTTGCTCTGTCCTCTGCCCACATTCTCTCTGGACCTACATCTTCTCTACCTCAGTGTGTTACCACCTCCTTCCAATGATTTGCAAAGAAGATTACAGCTAGACTGAAAAAATGCTAGTGATACCCTAATGCTGACTGTGAAAGGATTCCTACACACTCAGAGCTGAAGGGCCAGCTGCTGTGTGCTATATTAACACCAACCAACATTTCTGCCTGTGCCTGCTGTCCTCCCTCTGCTCCTGTTCACGCTCTCCCACAGCTGTCCCTGCAGTGGCAGAGCCAGGGCCATTATCTACTTCCTTCAGGCATCATTCACATTTTCTTTATTCAAATCTGGGATCAACTTACCCTTTGTTCTAGCCCTGGCTATCAATTTAGAGTCCAGCCCTACAATAAATTTGATAAAAAAAAAGAAGGTGACATCTTAATTTCAATTCCTGCCAACATCCTCTGTTCATTTGTTGTGACTCTCTGGTGCACAAGACAGTTTGGATGACAAATTAATTCTGTCCTTAAGCAGCCTGGTCCCTTCTCTAGCGGAAAAGAGGCACATGTGTTGAACTTCTGTCCAGTATAGATTCTTACCATAAAGTCTGCTTCTAACAAGTGCTGGTTGGTCTCTTTAAGGGCTAGGGCAAACATGGAGAAATATGAATGTGGGCAGGAGGAGACAAGGCTCTGTGGTCAGCTTTGCAACTGCATAAGGAGTTACCTCCCTTTTCTCCTTCTCTGCTTGGCTGTCCATAAACTCAGGTTAACAATACTAAACTCTCTCAAGGGAGAGGGGTGGGAGGTTAATAATTTAGTGGTTGTTAGTTACCCACACAGATTAAAGTGGTTTTAAATAGGGAAGTGATTCTTACAGACATGTGGCCTTCTAGGGTTAATTTTCTCTAAGTATATAATTTCTTCCTGCCCCCTTCTACTTTGCCTACCTCATCCTGCTTGGAATTTCCCTCTGTCAGCAATGGACAGACCTTGATTGCTGTGCTGATTGCACCACTCTGCACTTACTCAGGGAATCAGCATGGGCTCATGTATCCAAGCATGAGTTCATACATAAGTACAAAACCCAACCTAAAAGACTCTTAACAGCTAGAATAAACTAACTGTGACCTACTGTGTGATTACAGCCATAGGAGACAAGGTGCCAGAGGACATCAAGAAACAGGACCTAGAATGCATGGTTCCAAAACAAGAAAAGGACCCATCTGAACTGAAAGAAGAAAGTGTCCCTGTCCAGTACCCAAGCAGGATGTTGCCAGGCCCTTCAGCTCAAGGTCTGCTACCCAAGACCACAACTGCAAAAATTGGTCAGGGCTGGGCTGGCTTATGGAGCTCCTGCAACTAGGTCTAGATTTTCAGTAAATGGCAGCTCTTGCTCTGATGTCAGTGGACAAACCTGTCCCAGGCAGAGTCCATCAAGAGCATTCTGTATTTCCTTTTATGATTCTGGTCTAGATCAGCATCTCCCTAAAGGATGATGCTATGATTCACGATTAGTGAGCCTCCAAAGCTCAAGGATAAATGCAGCTCCATCCTATGTGGATCAAGGCAGGTGTCCACATGATAGTTGTTCAAACACCACATGAAGCAGGGCTAGTAGGGGGGTTAGTGTTCCCTTAGCATCCCCTCTCCCATAGAATTTCCTCAGACTGAAATCAAAGTCATAACAGGAAATTTGTGTGGGGATTAGGATTTTAATCAAATAAGGAGGAGTTACCGACTGCAATTCCCAGGGTCAGGCAAGACATTCAATGGGGGAATGATACCTGGGCAACTTGCTTGCCAGTGCCCAGCTGCAGGCAATGGCATGACACTCACTTCTCTCCTTTGCAAACTCAGAGATGGCCATCCCAGGTCTGCAGATCAAAGACTGCACTAACACAACAAGCCTCCCTACCTTCTACAAACCTGGCTTTTCTTGGGATGCCTACCACTTGCCGTACAGCTACCGTCAGATGACTTCCACCATGCAGTCAGCCCTCCTGGAGCACCAAGTCAGCCTGTATGGAAGCCACCTCCTGCCCAGCACCGAACCTCCTCTGGATTACAGCATGCATTACTCTTCAGACATGGAGACCTACCACTGCGTGAAGTGCAACAAGGTGTGTCACAGAGAACAACCTCAGACAGGATGGAGAGGGGTTGGAGTGATTTGCGTTGCACACATCAGTGTTTCACCGGGTTACACCAAAGTGCAGTACATATGGCTCAATATGCCACCTGACTAGGCAACAGGGGCACTAGGAATGACGCAGTTCATATGATCCACGAGAGGGAAGAGTAAAATAAAAGAGAAGGAATGGAAAACAGAGATGGAGACTCAGCCACTTCATGTCAAAAAAAATCACGGGTGTTTTGTTTTGCAGGTATTTTCCACTCCCCATGGACTGGAGGTCCATGTCCGAAGGTCTCATAGTGGGACCCGACCCTTTGCTTGTGAAGTGTGTGGCAAAACCTTTGGACACGCTGTAAGCCTGGAGCAGCACACCAATATTCACTCCCAGGTAGGCAGCATGTTTCCAGAGGATCAGGTCTCCAGAGCTCATGAGTGTTGGACCTTCGCTGTTGCTTATTCCATTATAAAGGGAATTACTTTTACAAACATAATGGTTTTCCTGTAGCACCCAATGACAATGATAGGGGCTCTGAAAATCACAGATTACATGTCTTGGTCTCGGAAATCTCAGACTGCCCTTGAGAAATCCTTGGAGGGGAGGATTGGTGCTACTGGTTCTTCTGTGCCTCGCCTCTTCCTAAAGGGCGCAGGAGTTTGGATCACAAGATATAATCCATTTCCATAAGTAACTCTCCCCACGGTCTCTTTGTACCGCACCTAGCACATCAGTCCTTGAGCTGAGGAGATTTGCTTATCAAATCTACTCTTCTCAACACCCTTAACACTCTTCAAACTCTATCACATGTCTTGCAGCCACAGACATCCCATGATTTTCTTCCTCTAACAGGAAAGAAGCTTTGAGTGCAAGATGTGTGGGAAGACATTCAAACGTTCCTCCACCCTCTCCACTCATCTACTGATCCACTCAGACACGCGGCCCTATCCCTGCCAATACTGTGGCAAGCGCTTCCACCAGAAGTCGGATATGAAGAAACACACTTACATCCACACAGGTGAGAAACAAAATATTCCCAATGAGCAAATGCAAATTAGAGTCCATCATGTGGATACATGTATACAGAGTCCCTAAACACCCAAACATAGAGATATTTGACTGGGGATAAGTGTCCAGAGGCACTGGAAAGTCACTCTTCCCTGCGCAGTGAGACAGCGGAAGGCCTAAGCATCACCGAGATGTGTGTCCTCCTCCCTGGGATAAGGAGGTGGTTATTGACCAGCCTCCAGTGCACGTCATCGTTGTACCCAGCCCTGAATGCAGACAGGGCATGGGTCACACAGCTGGAGAGAACTAACTCTGGCTTTTCTCTCCCTCTGGTGCTGGATCAGAGTGCAGACACATTAGCAGGAGAGCTGGGCTGGGAGCACCCTAATGCCCAAGCATAACCAGTTAGGTCTGAGTCTGCCAAAAGGCATTTCTGCCTCCTTTCTTTCATTTGTTAAAGTGTTTCTTACCATTTTCTCTGCCCTGCAGGGGAGAAGCCCCACAAATGCCAGGTATGTGGCAAAGCTTTCAGCCAGAGTTCCAACCTCATCACTCACAGCCGCAAACACACCGGCTTCAAGCCCTTCAGCTGTGAGCTCTGTGCCAAGGGCTTCCAGCGCAAGGTGGACCTTCGGAGGCACCGAGAGACCCAGCACAGTCTCAAGTGAAGGACGGCTCCAGGTCTTTGCTGGAGCACCCTTTGCCAGTGCATGCTCCAGGGAAGAAGATTCTCCCCAGCATCTCCATCCGGCATGGGGCTGCCCACCTCATAAAGCTCATACAGTGTCCTACACTCCCCTGAGGACTGGCAAATTCACATCATTTGCTTTGGTGTTTTGGCACCTCAGGGTTTTGCACTTCCCAGTAGGTGACAAAGAAACCTGTGGGAGCTCTCACTTTTTCATTACAACAGATACCAGTCCAGATCTGACATCACCTCTGTAAGTGCAGATCCAGAGGAATTCCTCCAAGGTCACTGTTAGTCTGGACTGACACCATGTGCAGAATCCGGTGAGGTGGAAACTCTGGGGCTAGTGGTAGCAATAATCTGTGCCAGGCTAGTGCCATAACCATGTTCTGCTTTGATGGTTTGAAAGATGAGACTAGGGCATGCAAATAGACTCCACTCAATGAGCTGTGTTCAATCTGGACAGGGCTTCTGCAGAGACTTGCCCAGGTCATAAATTCTGGCAACAGACACCTAAAGTCATTTTCTTTCAGTGGAGCATTTACTGTGATCAAATAACAAGTTAACTGTGCTGTATTTTTAGCTTGGAGTGGGAGGAAAGTACTGAAAAAAACAGCTCCTCTCCCTAGCTGATAACAGGGGTCTCTAAATGCATCCTTCATGCACCGCACTGCAAAGATCCCTGGGTTAGTGGCAACCAGGCAAGCCCTGGGAAAAGCCCCACCACAGCACTAGGCATAAGCTAATAAATTCCATGTCTCAGTACCATGCCAAAGAAACCAGCTGCTCTTGGAATCCAGGCTGGTATGTCCCACAATATTTCACTGCATGTTGGACATACTGACTTAGAGCTGTCCCAGGCAATCCTGTGTCACTGCACGGTCAGGAGTGGATATCAATGTCAAGGGCCAGAGTTTTCCTTTCCAGATACTCTCTTAAAGGAGGAAGTGGCCTCGCCCATACACACTGGCATAGTTTGCAAGTACCTTACAAATATTATACAAACAGAGCAGTGGTATTTCCTCCTTCTTCCAGGTCTAGGGGTTGAAGCGAAGCACTGAAACAAGTAAAGAGCCAGTTCCCCTCCAAGCTCTGCTACATTCTTAATGTGTAACCTTTGGCAAGTCACTGCACTGGCCTTTTATTTCTCCTCCCCTCCTGGTGACATGGAGTCAATTCACTCAGGTTTGTAGAGTCCCTTGGATTCTTAACAGGAAGGACAAAGTATTATTACAGCATTAAAAAGCCAAGTGCTTTCAGTTAAGCAGGGAGCTGCAGCAGCTCACAGCCCACCCCATAACTACATCCCTCAACACATGGCCTTGGACTATGACACCCGTGGGAAGTAACCCAGAGCCACAGGCTGTGGCACTAGCCATTTCACTGCAAATGCTTATGAAGGAATGCTTATGAAGAAACGGTCCAAGTGGAAAATTCATTTATTGCCAGGAAAGAAGAGGTCGGTCCTGCCCTCAGTTACACTGCTGTAAATCCAAAGCCATTCTCCTAAGAGCTAAAATGTGCTTGCCCCTGTTTTATGCTATGCCTAAGCTCTTAGCCATTAATATGCCTTCTGGAAGCTCAAAACAGAGTCTGTACTCCTGGCTTTACTTGTAGACTGTAAATATGTATTTATACTTATTCTAATGTATATTTTTATTGCACTATACCAGACAGTGACAACATGTACAGGCCTGCTGGGATTTATCTGATAAATTTGTTCCTTCTCAGTAACTGGGCTAACACAGTGTATATCATGGTAAAAACATCCATTTCAAGGAAGGCTCATGCTTTGCTCTGGAGATGCAGGCAGTGGGGATGGAAGGGAAAAGAAGGGAAAATGCCCTATACTGTTCAAGTGGAAAAAAAAGATATAAATTCACATGCAGAACTGAGCTCTCACCAAGAACAGGTCTCCCACACTTACACATGGAAGGCAGCAAATTCAAGGAGAAGTGGTCTATTGTCTACAAGCAACGCTGAAAGCCTCGACATCGATTTTCTGAGGCAAATTTGTCCAGAGCCCCAGAGAGGCAGCAGGTCAGCTCTCCAGAGCAGGAGGGCTGTGCAGCTACAGCCACATCGGATGACAGGGGACTGTGTGCTCAGCCGACGGTGTTATCGAAGCCCCCACTGAAACTCTGCTGTCCTTTCCTGCGTCATGCCAGAACCTAGGCAGGGCAGGGGCTCCAAGGCAGGTGTATAATCTGGAAGAGAACTGGGCTCAGGGAACTAGTCCCCAGGTCCTGACCGTGACACCAGGTGCACACACACATGTGAACACTCACACGTGCACAAACCTTACTCAAGGCAAAATCATTTCAGCTTATTAAAACTGCTGCCAAAAATGAAAACCCTGTTTGTTATTCCCCTTGTCCTCCACAAATCTGCAAACAGAAATATTTAAAGAGTGTGTCAGCACTTGAACTGCTCAGGAGCGAATACTCTCCAGCCCCAAAACACACGGGCACACCAGCACAGGCTTCTCTGTTTGCGTCCTGTGGACAGCAAGTGTGTCGACTCATCTGAACCTCCTCAGCTCCAGCCGTTCTGGAGGGAAGTGCTGGCACACACTGATCTGCACTGTGGCAAGACTGCCTGTAAAACCACTCATAAAACCAAATCAGACACCTGGTTCTCCTGAGCCAAAAAAAAAATCCCTCAGATTTCCATTCCTATCTTTGATTTCCATGGAACAGAGGAGGTGCAACCTTCAGCAGGCAGCTGGGGTCTTCTGTCCTAAGGCTGTGCTTCTCCAGCCTGCTTCTCCCTCCTAACAAACCACGGATCACCTCCGCCCTGTCTTCATTCTCCTAGGACTCTAGGGCAGGTAGGTGCATCCACCACGGTTGTGGTTACTGAACCCAGAGATTACTGAAGAGCAGTTACCCTGGAGGAGACACGGTCAGCCTTAGCCTTATATTTGTGAGGAGCCTGGTGAGCACATCCCCAGGAGGTGCAAGGACTGTTCTAGATATGTGGATGGCAAGTAAAGAAACACACTGGGAGAGCCTTAAGCTGCTGCAGAGCCATGCTCAGGAAAACATGTCTGTGGCCCAGTCAGCCTGGGGGCATGGGGGCAGGCTGACCCCCTCCCACAGGCGCTGGAAACGTATCTCCAGAAACACAGGCTGTGGATGGAGGCCAGCTGGCAAAAGCACCAACGAGACAGTATGGCCAGAGCCAGGAGGTGACTTGAGAAGAGAGGAAGGGCAGAAGGAATTACCTTGCAGTATTTTCCACTAAGGCACTACAGTTTCTTCTTCTTGAGTAACAAGGTGCCACTTTCAGGCCGATGGGTAGTGCTGCCAAAGCATCCCCATCTTTCCTTTAGGACTATAGATGTCAGCAGCCCAAAGAAAAGGCTACACAGGGTCCCACAGCCCGTTGTTCACTGCAATCCCTGATCAGGGAGAGCCATCTCTTGTGGAACGGGATGGAGAGAGCCAGCTCAGCTCTGCTCTGGAGCAGACAGCAGCAGGCTGCATGGTTTCCTGGGCTTTCATCCACGATGCCTGAAGTCTGGAAATGCAAGTGAAAGGAGCAGGGAAGGAAGCAGATCTGGCATTACCAAAACGCCACACCAGGCTCTGGGAGAGCCCTCCACTCCCAGCACAACATCTGCTGCATGGAGCTGGCAAAGGGCATCCCTGCTCCTTGGAGCTACTAAATCCACGCAACAGGTACCCAAAGACACTCGGCACCTGTCAGGATCTGGCCGTGGCTGTCACCAACTCCAAACACATCTGTCCTTGCTCTCCAGCCATGCAAATCCTCCTCAGTTCTGACCGCTCTGAAAACAACCTCTTTCCCACCATCTTGCCTTGCATCAAAAAAACCCCCAACATTCTGGTCAGTCAATCAAGGAAATAGATAACAAAAAGCAAAATCTCAACTAATCTTTGTGGTTGAAGAAAGAGCTGATTGTTTTTGCCTCTCTCTGAGCCTGTCCTGTATCCTGCACTTCCCTAGTCCTCGTCATAACTTCTTCCTTCTATTGCCAGGGAAAGAAAATCCCGGTCTTTGGGCTGTTTTGTTTAGCAAATGAGGGACATGCAAAGCAATAACCCAGGGCATCTATCAGAAGGAGAGAGGTGCCTCTGTGTCTTCTAGACAGCCTTCAGGCACTGAGAGCAGCAGCCCAGAAATACCATCATCAAGGGTAGATTTAAGTTTGGACCCGGGATGCATCTTTTATTTCCTAATGAAGACAGAGCCACAGGACACCTGCAGGAAGCAGAGGTGTGTTCCCAGCAAGCACAGCATTATGCTGGAGCTTATCTTCAGGTTGTATTAACCTCCATGAAGCAGAATCCTAGAGAAGGCAAACCCCTGAAGTTTTTATGTTGTGTTGGCAATGGTTAGGGAAGTCCTAAAAGGAACCGAGATGAAGAACAGCTGGGTACAGGTTGTATTGGAAAAAAAAAAGAAAATAAGTATTTCCTGAGTCCAGTTGCTTCCCACCCTGGACTTCATAAGAAAGCATTTTTGGTGGATAAAAAAAAAGAAAAAGATAATCATAGAATGGTTTGAGTTGGAAGGAACCTTAAAGATTGCTAAGAGCAGAGTTCTTTGTCCTCACAGTTGTGGATGATGGGGACACCAAGCAGGTTAGTTTTAGCCCATCAGCACAGCACGTTGGGAGAAACCTGAAAGCTTTAGACAGTCTCCCAAAAATAGCTGCATACATGTTTCCTTGCAAATATTCGTACCCACTGTTAAAGGTCTAACCTAGGAACAGATAGGGAGCTTGACCAGCAAAGCTGCTACAGAATAAAAAAAGCACACCACACAATTTTTTATCACTTATTCTGGTCACAAAGCAGAGATGTTTTTCTACTTTTGCCCTGAAGTAGCACATGCACACAGAGAAGACAATCCAGAAGCGCCACACCAAAAATTATTCAACGATAGTTAAATCAGTCAAGTTGCCTCTTGTGCTTGATGAGACCTAAATAAACACAGATCTCTGCCGAGTTCCTGATCCACCATCTTTCAGCTAACAGTCACCGCGGACACACTGATCTTAAGGCTGCAACCCTGAGCTGAGACTTGAGATGTGCCACAGGTTTCCTGTACGACCTCAGGCAAGATGCGAGCACTGAATTTCTGAAGTTGTTCAGCACGCTGTGAAGCTCACAGAAAGCTTCACCCCATCTGTGAGAGAAGGATAATAAATGCCCCTCTCCCCTTCATTTCACTTGTTTATTTCAACAGTAAGATAGGGAGGAATGGGACTGCCCTTCTTTATCTGCCGCTTACA